TGGGCTTATATTAAAGCTAGAACTTTGTTCAACGACAAATCTTCAGTCAGTACACACAATTAAGTAGTGAGCAGTCTTACAAGAACTCAGCCTATGCTGCTCTACGGAATGTAGTCCTCTTTTATTTTAAAGTGTTACTTAGTGTTACTTGTGTTACTTGTTACTTGTAAGTAGAAAAGGTAAATTGTTGTCTGAAAACCCCAGGCTTTGAATGAGCACGCCAAAGAAATAGGAATATACTTGCAATTACACTTCTAAATGAATATATTTTGCAGTTTGATAGATTGGACATTCTAATGGATCATATGACTTCATATTTCATGAATGCTGATTGCACGTGTGGGTGAGTGAGTGCAAGCATGGACATTCTCGTGTGAAGGAGAAGCTGTTAAAGTGATACGGCAAAACTACAAGGAGTCGTAAGTTTTATGTTGGGTCAGTAGTTGGCAATAATTGACAGCTCCAAGTGGTTCATGTGACTTGACCCCCTTTCTATTTTTGTATGAGGCCAGATCAAAGCATGAAGTCAGCACAACAGGGGACAGCAGGAAGCCAAAGACAGTAGAAAAAAAAATCTACTAAATAAATAACAGTTGAGAAGTAGATGTTGATTGATGTTATTTTGCAAAATTAATAAGAAATCAAATTATGTAACTTAATAGGGAACATAAACATAGGGAAACAGGTTTTTTTTTGTGTGACCAACTCTGGCTACCAATTTCTTTTGGGTTATTTTAGTAGGCTATCTGCTCGGTTTGCTGAAGTTGATTTCTTAGCAAACTGCTTTTCTCAACTTTTGCTACTGTTCTCCCTCGTGCACACCCCACACACAGTCATTCAAAAACAGACATACACTGCTAGTATAACACACCGTAGCCTACCGGAAAAGTTATTGATCTAGCGATCAATGACTTTTATGCGGTATGTTAGCTGCATCATTCTTTAAGCCGCAGGGTTCAAAGCATGTAGCGTCTTATAGTCGGGAACACATCAAAGCAGGGGTTAGTACTGTCTTCTAACGCTTCCCTTTCAGCTTCCATCCATCCATCCATTTTTGTCCGCGGATCCAATCTCGGCAATCTTCATACCAACCCCCCAAACCTTCCTGCGGGTGGTGAGTCCACTGAAAGGTATTAACCGCCCTAACCGGGATTCGAACTTGCCCAGGAGGTGAATCCTGGGGTTCCACACCAATGACAGAGACCTTGCCTCTGGGCCAAAGCGCCACCCCTTTCAACTTTGCTGCTATTATTCTGTTGCAAATCACTCCTGACACATACATTCCACACTGCCTGTACCATTTCTCTTTACCTCGTTACCATTACCCTAGGTAGGGTCAATGGCGATTGACCCTAGGTATTTAAACTCATCCACCTTCACCACGTATAATTTCATCCATCCATCCATTTTTGTCCGCTGATCCAATCTCGGCAATCTTCATACCAACCCCCCAAACCTTCCTGCGGGTGGTGAGTCCACTGAAAGGTATTAACCGCCCTAACCGGGATTCGATGTTGCCCAGGAGGTGAACCCTGGGGTTCCACACCAATGGCAGAGATGTTTCCTCTGGGCCAAAGCGCCACCACGTATGCTTACCTCCACTCTTGTATGTCATCTTATGTCTCTTCTTAAATTAGGATTTGACAACAGCTATTTCTGTCCTTCATTACTGTCTTTCACCTTTCTACCTCATCTCCTCTGTTCCCTTTCACTTACATGTCCATTTAAGTCCCACCACCAACCACTACTATTTCCCCTCTGGACACATCTTTTACCACTGCTTCTACCTTGCTCCAAAAATTCTCTTGCTTTTTTAACTGACATCCAACTTGTGGTGCGCAGAAAACATTCAGAAGCATGCCTTCATCTTTTACCTTTTAACTTCAAAAATCATCTCCTTCTTTTTCTCTATGTGAGCGAGAGAGCATTTTATGATGCGTGAAACAGTGCCCCTCTAAATGTTTCCTGGTGAAAGAGCATTGAAAACATGGTGCTGCACTCTGTTGTCTGTGAGGAGGCTTGGCTTCCTTGAAAATTTCCCCCTGCCATACCACTAGTCAAATGAGACTCTACATCACGTCTGCCATCTTTCCACCTTTACCAGTCCTTGTCTACTACTTGTCTTCCAAGGAGTTACGTTTTTTGAAGACGTTTAACCTCTCATCTAAGAGGCTTCTTCAATTCGGAAGATTATTAATAATTATTAATAATATGATTATTATTATTAAAGTAATAATTATTAAAGTAACTAATTACTTTTTTTTAAGTTACTGGATTGGTGTGGCGCTTTGGCCCAGAGGCAATGACTCTGGGGTTGGTACGGTGCAATGTGATTTGGGTGGCGACTGCTGCCCCCGCGACCCGGTAACGGATAAGCGGATGAAAATGGATGGATGGACGGATGGATGGGTTACTGGATTGCACTCTTGGAGAAGTAATCAGTAATCAATAACTAATTATTATTTCCGAATAACTTGACCATCACTGTTGATCACACATGGTTAGGGCAGCATCCGACCCTCACCTCATGATCAAGATGTCCATCTTTCTGTTTTTCTTATTACTACCTACGTACAAGCCCCTATTTATAGAAAACGTTCTGTGAGTAACACTCCAGGGCTGCAGGAGTACACTAACTGCTGGACTAAAAACTGCTACAATGGACATTAATGTGAAAAATAACACATAATTGTAAATGTTTTTTTGGCCATAGGTCCAGCTATCTGCTCCGAAGACGAAACTAAACTGGTTAAAACAATATTTACCGGATACAATAAGGTGGTTCGTCCTGTTAACCACTTCAGTGATGCTGTTGTCGTCACAGTGGGTCTTCAGCTAATACAGCTCATCAGCGTGGTAAGTCAGTGGATTAGATATGGTTTTGGCGGCCCACTATTTGAGAAGCACTGCCTTGACACCACCAGCATGCCAGATATGGTCATTGCTCATACATTTCTGCTTTTAAAATCAACCTTTTGAATTGTATCTTTGAACTCATTGTCACGTCTATAAACACAGAATTTACAATTGTGAAGGTAGGTGGAATTGTATTTGTGCGAATTATGTATGTTTGGAAGTATAGTGAGCTAATGTAATTTCCTAAAATATATTTTGCCCCCTGCAGGATGAGGTCAACCAGATTGTGACCAGCAATGTCCGTCTCAGACAGGTAACATCAAATGTTGTAAAATGATGGAATAAAAATTCTTTATATTTTTACAACCATGTGAACATTTTTCATTAAGGTGATTTTTTTCTTAACTGGCTTTTTTTTTTAGTTTTCATTAAAATGATATGTGTAATGAAAGCAATATACAAACTTAAGTTTAGACTTAAACCTAAATTGTACAAATACACATTAAATAAACAAAAAAAAAATTTTAAAAATTAAAAATGTGGTTATTCAGGTTACCAGATGTTAGATTACATTTGCTTACATGGCTCCAGTTACCTCCAACAAAACAATACTCAAATAATAAGTATTGTGTACAGCACTACAGCATTACTAACCATATTTATAAAATTCTAATTATGAGTGTACCTGACTTTTTTCCAGCAATGGACTGATGTGAACTTGAGATGGAACCCAGATGATTATGGAGGCATCAAAAAAATTCGAGTACCTTCAACAGACATATGGAAACCTGATCTGGTGCTCTATAACAAGTAAACACATTTTCTTAACACCCTAAATCATAGGTGTCAAACTCAAGGCCCGGGGGCCAAATGCGGCCCGCCAAGCCATTTTGTGTGGCCCGCGGGGGCTTAATAAGCATTTAATGAAGTCCATGCAGCAGAGTTTATCAACCTATGAAATTAAAAGTTTTTTTTTATTACACAGCAATGAACAATATTTGTAGCTTGAATAAATCATTTTAGTCTGTTATGGAGGAGCTACATCTATACCAGACTCTATTCTGTTTGTATCAAAGTCTGAATGACTTTTATTTTAAAATATTGCCAGATTATCGTCAAATAAATCTTTTTTTTTTTAATGAAGCAAATTAGAATTTTTTTCATTTTTTTCACTGTGTCCCACTGCGGGCTGGTACCAAAGGACCTTTGAACTGGTACTAGTCCGCGAACCGGGGGTTGGGGACTTCTGATCTATACAGTGTTCCATTTAAAACCGGCCCTAAATAGTATTCATTTTACACCATATGTATCAAACTCAAGGCCTCACAGTCCTTGACACCAAGTCATTTTGTGTGGCCGGTGGGAACTTTTGCCTTATTATAAAGTCCAGGCTGCTGAGTTTCTTAACTTAAATTCTTTTATTACACAGTGCAATTTGTAACTTCAACAAATAATTGCCGAAAAGAAAATGTATTAATACGTCGATATTAGTAGTAGTTATTAGTAGTAATTACAGTGATAAAGTCTAACAGTTACAACCGACCCTCCAAGGGAAACTGTATTGCTTAATTGCCACCCCCCCCTGGTAAAAAATGGTTTTGACATCCCTGCACTACACAGTCAAAATATTTTCCACATTTTTCAACATTTCTAAGCATACCGAAGTATACTAATTTTCTTGGGTCTTCTTCTCCTCAACAGTGCTGATGGTGACTTTGCCATTATCCATGAAACCAAAGTCCTTCTTGAATACACTGGCATGATAACATGGAACCCTCCTGCTATCTTTAAGAGTTACTGTGAGATCATTGTCCTGCACTTCCCATTTGACCTGCAGAACTGTAGCATGAAGCTAGGAACCTGGTCATACGATGGACTACTCGTTGTCATCAACCCAGTGAGTGTAATTTATTTACTAATAATGTAGCTATTTCATTGAATCCAATGGGTACTTCGTCTAGTGCAGAGCAGATCAAAGCAGTCAAGCGGTGTTAAACAAAGAGGACTGCCTTTCATCACATAGTACCGGTCAGTCTGGTCTGGACGGTAACAATAAGCCTTGGGAAATCGTAAACAATATTTTGGCTAACTGGCTAACTTTCCTTCTAAGAGAGGTAAACCAGATACAAAGTCAACCAAGTCTATTCATTTCTGTAAGTATCACATTCTTCAGAGAACATTAGGAGAGACTAGCTGGTGTGTACATGGACCAATGCTTTAGCCATATCATTCTCTTACATCCCCTGATCACTGATCAGGGGGTGACAGAACGTCCAGTCCAGTGGAAAGTACAATGCAGCTTTTGTGTAATCGAGAATCAAACTGGAACACCAAATATGATAAAAACAAAAAACCTAAATAACTGTTTACAAATTCAAGACGGCACACTTGGAGAAGAGACAACCACAATGAGTGAAAACCTTGACATAGGAAAATTCTCAACGTTATTCAGTGATGACGATTAAGGATGAACAGTGTACTGAAATGAATGCCTACTTTTGTTGTAATACATGATCTATTTTGCTTTTTCATTCAGGACAATGATCGACCAGATCTCAGTAACTTCATGGAGTCAGGAGAGTGGGTATTAAAGGACTACAGAAGCTGGAAACATTGGGTGTACTACACCTGCTGTCCTGACACACCATACCTGGACATCACCTACCACTTTCTGATGTTGCGCTTGCCTCTTTATTTCATTGTTAATGTCATCATTCCCTGCATGCTCTTCTCTTTTCTCACAGGGCTGGTCTTCTACCTTCCTACTGACTCTGGTATATATTTATTGAACACAACACAATATAGTATATAACAGTGGTTCCCAAACTGTCTCTGCAGAACCCGTTTGGTTCATAAGAACATTTTCATGCCACCCTCGCCATTTTGTTTTCAGATTTATGTCACACATTTTAAATATACAGTGGAACCTCCAGATACAAGCATAATCCGTTCCAGGACCGAGCTCATAACTCGAGGTGCTCGTATCTCCGAGTCATTTTTCCCATAAGAAATAACAGAAAAATTAGTAATCCGTTCCACCCCTCTAAAAAAACTCTTTCATTATTAGTGCTAATAACAACGGAAAAAACATGTTTTTAATTGCTATAGAGAAAAATTATGGTATATAAGGATTCCTGTGATATAAAATAATATGTGGTTTTAATTATGAGTGCTTACCTTCAAGACAGATGATACAGTAGCAGCTAATGACGGCATGTGCGGAGGGGGCGGGTGGAGTTGGCCCATACGTAGACACTTGATTCCTCACCGTACCTTACACGTATACTACGTAACTTACATAAACTTAGAATTAACTTAACTTACGTTTTTTTTTTGTTTTGTTTTTTTTTTTACTTCGTGATGTACAGATCGTGGATGTTCTGTGATCGCACATGCATGATAGATCACACGCTGGCACCACGTTCATATTTATTGACTCACTATCATCCTTACCGCTCACTTTCTTAGGACTCATCACTATTATGAAGAATAATGCGCAAAATAGAGAGAAAATCACATAGATACGTACGGAAAGGAAGCTTACGGAAGTCGCCGAACACGTCAAAAAAAAGTGAACGAGTGAGGCTGCTCCAGGTGCAACTTAGCGTCAGTGTCTGTAAGCGTGCTTGTCTCTCAAATCTTTACTCGTATCTTGAAGCAAAAATGTGCTCGAAGGCTTGCGCGTACTTAAAATACGCGTATGTCGTATCTTGAGGTTCCACTGTAACTGTTTTGTTTTATTCATTAATTCCTTCCGTGCCCCCCCTTGCAATGGCACAGCATGCCCCCCCACCCCACACTCACACTTTGGGAACCTCTGGTATATGACACAGATCCTCAATATCGAACTATAAGCAAAACCTTAAGATCTATAACCGTAAGATTTGTGTTTGGGTTTTTTTCTCTTCAGGTGAAAAGATGACTCTCTCTATTTCTGTCTTGCTGTCTTTGACCGTCTTTCTGTTGGTCATCGTGGAGCTCATACCCTCTACATCCAGTGCCGTTCCACTCATAGGGAAATACATGCTCTTCACCATGGTGTTTGTCATTGCGTCAATCATTATCACGGTCATTGTCATCAACACACACCACCGCTCACCCAGCACGCACACCATGCCGGCCTGGATCCGCAAGGTTGAGTCTAAGATTTGATCCCGTTGTTTCTAAAATGGCTAGAAGGAAAGACTAGAAGTTCATCAAAAGATGCGTCTAACTTGTCACAGGTCTTCATCGAAACCATTCCCAACATGATGTTCTTCTCAACTATGAAGCGACCGAGCCAGGAGATTCGGCAGAAGACCTTGTTTCCCACTGACATGGACATCTCTGACATTTCAGGTAAGATAACAGCAAAAAGCAAGCGCGTATTTTGATAAGTCAAATTATGAAATTACTATAATATTTTGTGTCGTATTGAATAGCTTTTGCTGCAGCCGCTTCAGCTGCATTGCAGGTTTCTCTAAGGTCTTTTTTCCCATCAGCCATTAGACTTTGTTTTTGTGTTTGTTCTTATTACTATCCAACTTAGTTGCCACTTTAAAGTCTTTTGGGACCTTTGTGGCTGTTTTCTGTTCTCAAAAAGTTCTCTCACAGTGTTAAACTTTTAAACTTTGTCGATTGACCATGTTTCAACACTACCGCTGCGACGAAGTCTCAACTCGTCTTGTCTCGTTTTAAGAACACCGAATTGTTTCTTTGCGGACCCTGACCCCCAACATGCTCCTACAACTTCTGTCTTTGGTTTTTGCTCTGCAGGAAACCCCACACCCACCAGTGTCACCTTCCAGTCCCCCATCGTTAAAAACCCAGATGTACGCAGTGCCATTGAAGGGGTGAAGTACATCGCTGAGACCATGAAATCAGATGAGGAATCAAACAATGTAAAACACCAACACAGTATGACATCTGTATGAAGTATATAGCCACTAACAGCTGATTCCTATAGCTAATTTGCTGATGGAACAATGAAGGGGTTTGAATTTTTTTTTTTTTTTTTTTTTTGTATTTTCTACCGCTTAATACTTTTCTGGGTGGCTGGGGTGATGAAGTAGTGAATATGTGAAGTACACCTTGGATAATTCTCAAGTTTATCACAGGACTTGATGTACACCATGGTCCGCTCCCTCCATATTTAATACCCTCATAATATTCTTTTATCACTTAAATGTCAAATTAAGTGCAAATTCTCAAAGGTTTTGCAACGTTTAAATGAACAATCCAGCACTAATTTTGATGTTGTATCACGGTATATCCAAAGCGCATAGCCTGGGCTACAACAACCAGGAGCTAGTCTTTTATACAATAATAAAGATGATTTCATTATTACAATTAAAATTATGCACCTTTACGTCAGTATTATAATATATATAATACACCTGCTAATAGACCAAGACAAATGTTCTCGAATGTGATTTCCTTTTCCCACATGTTCTCATTTCAGGCAGCAGAGGAGTGGAAGTTTGTTGCTATGGTGCTGGACCACATTCTTCTCTGCGTCTTCATGGCGGTGTGCATTGTTGGGACACTAGCTGTCTTTGCTGGAAGGCTTATTGAGCTCAACATGCTTTAGTGACCCTGTGTCTTGGAAATATGTTGTGTATCATGATAGAGTAAGGTAGGTCACATGGTCTCCTATGCCCTTTTCTTTTCCTAGACAATTATGGAATACAAAAGAGAACGCCTGCGCTTCAGGTTGTGTTGGAAAATTGTGTGTCTCGCAGCTACAAACACATTTGTGAGTTCTTTCGTCATCTCTCTCAAATGTGTTCGCACAAGCTGTGTAGTACAGGAGCATGCACACACATATACACACACCTAGGGTCACCGTGACCCAAAGGACAACACAAGGGTTAAATTAGCCCCAAGTATTATGGTCCCAACCCAAGTATTAAGTATTATTGTCGACAAGGGTCATACTTGAAGAATTTCTTTAGTACTTTAGAAACTTGTGTTGTTTTTGTGTTGTTGTTGTTGTTGTTTTACAGTTTTAGTGTGACATCACTCTGATAAAATAATTACCAATAATGTTAACTCCTCTTTAAGGTTTTTTTTTTCTTGAAGTTAAGGCAAGATTATTTCTTTTCTGGAGGTTTCTGTGTTTCGATTTTTTTTTTTAATTGCGGTTGTAGTTCTTTGTTTCCTAAACATAATATACTATAATGCATATCTTAAATATACATCCATGCAACAAGGTAAATGATGATGTGATTTTAAACATTTTAAATATGCAGTAAAAATAAAACATCATTAGTCACTGCTGTGAATCTAAATTGAAATAAATTTGTTTAGGTTGTGCAATGGGTTTTTTTTATTTTTTATTTTTTTTACTTCATTTTAATAAACTCATTTATATTACCGTACATTACAGAAAAAGGGAAGAAGAAGAAAACATTGAAAAAAAGCAAAGATGAAAAAAAGCAGTACATTGGAGAGATATCTTAATGACAATTTGTGAATATTTTAAGAAGTAGAGCCAGGTCAGGGTTCAGTTCATAAGAGCCTTTTTTTCCAATTGTCTGTAGTCTTGTCTACTTATTAGTACAGAAGCCTTCTCACAAAGCTGTACAATAAGTATTGAGAAGGACATAGGGAAGAGGAACTGGGTGGCCTTTTACTCAAGTGAAAAAAAAAACACAAATAATTATGCATGTAATTATTAATTATATCCTGTTGTCATGAGGAGCATTATGTCAAAATGGGCGGTTCTACTTTCGCTCCCTCAGTACATCACAGATTTTTGAATCCAATCTTTAAGCATTAAAAATGTTTTCATTTTCAATATTTTCATTTTTCTAGCATACAAAGGAAAAGCAGTATTTAAATAAACGAAAAGACATACATACATACAGGGTAATACATAAAAACCATGTACAGTACGTACATTTGGGAAATCTAAGATATATGTACCGTCTATATCATATGTGTAGTCTGTGTCCCACTGCAACCCGGTACCAAAATAACCTTTTTCATTACACAGCAATGGACGACGATATCTGTAGGTTGAATAAATAATAATCAATTGCAGAAACATGTATTAGTCTGTGTCCCACCCGGTACCAAATGACCTATGGAATGGTACTGTTCTGCGGACCGAGGGTTGATGACCCCCGATCTATACTGTCTTCCATTTACAACCGGCCCTTCAAGCAGATCTGTATTGTATTGCTAAGTTTCACGTAATAACGTAAAACCTATCACGTAATAACGTAAAACTTATCACGTAATAACATGAAACTTATCACGTAATTATGTGAAACTGAGCCAATTTTTTTTTCTCAAGTGTGGCAGCAATACGCTTCCGTAGTTTCATGTGATTGTTTGTTGCTGTCTTTTTATTGAATTTTTACAAGTAAATTAACAGCATAGAAACCAAAACTATACAGCAATCCCATGTAAATAAATATAAAATAAATAAACAGAGAGAGCAGTAGTAACAATAAAACTCAGAAATGTGCAACAAATGTGTGTGCAGCCCAAATCGGAGTACCAAAGACAAAAACTGAACTGCTGTGATAATGTTGAATCCCTGAATACAGTAGAGGGTTTTGAAACGCGATCTCCTTTTAAAAGCAAATCTCTCAATTGTTTAGGTAAATAATTTAGAAAGGGAGACCAAATCTTTGAGAAATACTCCTCTTTCTCCTTCACAACTGCACACAGCCTTTCACGGGGTAGAGTATTGAAAACCTCCTTGCACCAAATGTTGGTAGCTATTCTCTAATCCACTTGTGCAACACGCATTTTCAGGCTATCAAGAGTAGTTTCTCCAGAAGGTTAGAGTGGGTAGCAGGAATATTTAGTTCCCTAAAAGTAATGGAAGGCCAAGAAGGAAGAACTCCTGGATCTTTCTTCTTAATTTTTAATTTGAAAATCCCACTGATTGCCGAAGAAATATGGTTTCAATATGTAGAGATCTTTTTGCATTCCCAAAAGCAGTGGAAATATGTTCCTCTCTCTGACTCTGAGAAAGAGTGGTTCATTTCATGTAGAATTACAGGAGTCTGTGAATTATTTTATATTGCATTTATTGCGTGTAATCTGTTACATGTGAATGTAAATTTCATCAAACGTAATAAGCTCTACCAATTATCCTCTATATATACTCAGTGCTCAAGATCCTTTTCCCATTTATGAGAGATATCTGGTAGCACATAAACCCCAAAGGAGCTAAGCGTCCCATTATGGGGAAGTGAATAGAAAGATGATATGAAGTGGTTTCCATGGTTATGCTCCTTAATAAAATTCTCTACTTCATTACCAGTAGTGTCAGTAAGGAAGGATGTGACCTGGGCGGATATAAAATGTCTCGGTTGTATATAAGCTTGTTGTCGAGCGATGTCGAACATCGCTTCAAGTTGTTGGAAGGGCATTAAGATAATTGAGTCACCAATTTGTGAATTCACCGAGAAGAAAAGGCGGATGAACCTACACCAGTGCTTTTTCTCCAGTGAGATCACAGCTTAAGAGTGCCGGACTTCCCTGCCAAGTTACAGGTTACTGATGCGGACGGACAGAAGCATGTCTTCCATTCTCCAGAGCAGGTGAGCCACTCTGTGGCAAAACATCGCCCTGCCGATGCAGCTGAACCGTTACATGGACATGCCGCTGAGTAGTTAAAACTTCGGATGGAAGAATTGGGTTTTTTGACTTTGATTACTCGAACCCTCAAAGGTAAATACCTCCCTATTTTATTTAGATTTACCTAAGTTTCAAATATTTAAAAGGAAGCGCGAAAAAGTCAGCATTTCCATCCATCCATCCAT